AAGAAAGTAAAAAATTAGCTGGGCATAGTAATCTCAGCTACTTGGCAGGCTGAGGCAAGAGGATTGCTTGAAGCCAGGTAGTAGAGGTTGCAGTAAGCCATGATTGTGCCACTGCACTCCAGCCTGGGTAACAGAACAAGATCCTGTCTAAATATATATATATATAACAGAACTCTAGTAATTAAAACAACATGGGACTGGCATTAAAAGAGACACACAGACCAAATGGAACCACATAGAGAGCCTAAAAACAAACCCACACATTTACAGCACATTGATTTTTCTTTTTCTGTTGCCCAGTCTGGAGTGCAGTGGTACAATCATAGCTCACTGCAGCCTCAACTTCCTGGGCTCAAGCAATCCTCCCACCTCAGTCTTCCAAGTAGCTGGAACCATAGGTGCACACCATCACACTCAGCTAATTTTTTAAATTTTTTGTAGCAATTGGGTCTTGTCATGTTGCCCAGGCTGGTCTCAAACTCCTGGGCTTAAGCAATGCTTCTGCCTTGGCCTCCCAAAATGCTGGGATTTAGGTGTCAGACACCACCCCTGGCCTACAGTCAGTTGATGTTTTGACAAAGGATGAGAATGACATTGAGAAAAGGACAGTCCCTTCAACAAAACAGTATTGAGAAAATTGGATATCCACGTGCAAGAAGAATGAAAGTGGACCCTTACCTAACACTACATTAAAAAATCAACTCCAAATGGATTCAAGACTTAAAGACAAGACCTGAAATTGTAAAACTACTAGAAGAACACCACATAGCCAAAAACTACATGATGTTGATCTGGACAACAATTTTTTCAATTTGACACGAAAATTTCAGGGAACAAAAACAAACATACACAAATGGAATGGGATTACATCAAACTAAAAAGCTTCTGCACAGCAAAAGAAACAATTAACAGAGTGAAGAGGCAACCTATGGATTGGGAGAAAATATCTGTAAGCTACACATCTGATAAGGGATTACTATCCAAAATATATAAGGATCTCAACTCAATAGCAAGAACATAACCCAATTAAAAAGTGGGCAAAGGGCCTGAATAGACATTTCTCAAAAGAAGACATACAAATGGACAACAGATATATGAAAAAAAAAAAAAAAAAAAGCTCAACATCATGAATCGTTATGGAAATGCACATTAAAACCACAATGAGATATCACCTCACACCTGTCAAAATGACTATTATCAAAAAGATGAAAGATAAGGGTAGCCCAAACCTGTAATCCCAGCAGTTTGGGAGGCTGAGGTGGGAAGATTGCTTGAGATC